GGGATCCGAACCCTCGGCGGGAGCGCCGCTGCGCTCCCAAGCGGTGCACTGTAGCAGTGCGCCACCAGGCCGGCCCATAACATAGCTTTCTTACCCCCCAACATAGTGCTGGAAATTTTTGAGATGAGAATGGAAACACTTTTCTCAGGTTTGGAAGAAGAGTATAACACTGTGTAGTCATATAAAGTCTGCAGTATGAGGGTGCAGCACAGATATGAGGTACTGGATTTCATTTCTAATGCTCCGTTTTATTAAAACACAGGTTTGGGTAGGAATGTCCCAGTTTTTTGTTTTTTGTTTTTGTTTTTAACCTTGGATGCTACTTACTATTGTGGTTAACATTTTGGAATTAAACAGCTAGATTAGAGCCTAACCTTGTGCATTGGTATAGGCGTACTCACACCTTCAGAATATGGGAATATTACATAGATTATGGTACGGTGGGCTCAGATGGTATTCAGGGATGCTGACTTTAGTTTTCAACTTTGAAAAGTGAAGAGGGGTAGAACTCTGTTCCTGATCATGAATGTCTAGGTAATTCAGAAGAAATCCCCTGGTGAAGACAAAAAAAAAAATGTTGGATGATATTTTAAAATAATCTTTTAAGGCATTATAACATGAATAAACTAGGATGAATTACTTGCTGAGATCCAGTAAAAGAAACAAACTCAGAATGGTGAATTTGGCACATGGAACCACTTTTGCTCCAGAGACATTTGTTATCTGAAAGCAGAGGCTAAGAGACTGAGCTATGTCTTTGACAGCCTTATAGGGATAGAGGAATAAAAATGGGAACTCAGGGCTGCCAAAAGTGAGAACATTGGTGATCACCCCTTCTCCTTTGGGCTGCTTACTAGGAGTAAGTAGGAACTCTAAGTAAACCAGCTCATCCACAAACTGCAGATTGACTTACTATCATCTGTGCAGCCCATAAAACCTAAACCTTGACAATGGTTTAAGGTGGTCTGGATTTCAGCACTCCTAGGTACATGAAGATGCAAAGGAAAATCCTCTCTCCAAAGAAATTAAACATTCACCCAGACTTCACATTATTTCTAGAAATAATTTTTTTTTCAAATAGAATGTACAACATATAAACAAACATGTACACACAGAAGAGACAAGTCTCCATGAATGAGAATCAGCAGATATAACAGACACCAGAAATAGGACCAACAGGACTTCAGATGTTGGAATTTTCACACAAAGGTGTAACAGCACTGTTTAATATGTTCAAAGAAATAAAAGCCAAGTTTAAATTTTTTTTTTTTTTTTTTTGTCTTTTCTCGTGTCTGGCAATGGATCGCAACCCTCAGTGTCGCGCCCATACCGGACCGGGACCGGCAA